TAGGGTGGCCCTTATTTTTGGACTTTTGAAATCTTCTGCTCTCACCCGCCCAGACAACTTCCTTCATGAGAAATGGAAACGAACCAAATTTTGCTGAGATTGGACTACGTTTAGGGTGTGCTCAACACAATTGAAATTCTGACAAATTACAAATGACTTCTAGTGAAGAAACAAATGAGGGGTGAGAGGTTAACATTTCCAATATATAAAAATGGGGCCACCATTAAAAAAAATTAAATACAAAAAATACAAAATCCCACAAATAAATGGGAATTCTCACTCCATACTGAACTCAGAAGTTGGAGTCCTGCTATGCTGTTTTTGTTTCAGCATCTGTAACTCGTTGAACTTTTATACAAAGCACCCACATTTGTAAGAATATCACAGCCCTTATAAGTTGATGTCAAATACATGGAGTGCCTTTGTTACAATCTACCCCACTGCCGGTAAGTTGTAACAATTAGATCAAATAAGCAAAAACAGCAGCCACCCCATGATAAACACTGTGAAATGTGAAACAAGATAACCCTGGATTCTGTTTACCTGGAGTTTAGAATGAAACTGTTAGTTTATTTCCAGCACTAGCAAGAGAAGCAGAAGTTACTTTTAAGAAGAACTGTTCTTGAAAGAACACATCCTGGTTTTGTCTGTCAATTACTGGAAGGCATCTTAAGAATAAATGTAGGCTATGTACATCTATGCTGCTGTAATATTTTAGGTGTCAAGCAGATGTTCAATGATTGTTCATTTCTTAAGTTTTCATCAACACTACTAACAAACTGTTCTTTTCAATAACATAACAGTGCTGCTGCTGTTCAAAATGTAAAAGTAGCCTAACTACACATGTTGTCAAAATTGAGGTATTTACTTCTGTAATCTGATCTGAGACAGACTGGTTTGCTCAGATCCAGGAAAAAAAAAAGTCCCAATGAAAATTCAATTAACAATTCTAGTGGCGCCATCTAGGGTTCAAAATGAGTATTTACCTATAAAAACAATTTAGTTAATAGGCTGCACTATAAATGGTTCTTACAGTAGAGCAGCCAAAGAAACAATAATAATAATAATAAAATGCAAATCAATGACACCATTGATATTTCATGTTTAACAAAAATAATAGAAATTAAACAGATACAGATATGTTTTAGCAACAGATCAGAATAACACATTCACATTAGTGACTCATCATCATTATATTGTGCAAGCTCCTCTGCTAAACTAAACAGCAAAGCTGAAATAAATGCTTCAGGAAAAATTAGTTGGCTTTAATATGATGTACCTAACATGATCTTAATATGATCTAATGATCTGCTGTGTGTTGAGAAAAGCATGAGTTAAAAAAGGGTGGATACTGTCAAAGTTATCTCAATAGCACTTATTAACAATTTACACAAGTCTACCAAGTCTACATAGCATATACTTCCAAAGAACACACTGATAAAAATTATTTTGTGGTGAAGTAAATAATACCGAAAAACATGTAGTTTCTACATTAAATAATTTAGTTCATGCAAGAATAATAAAAAAAAAAAGAGTAAATTCAATATTAGTACTCAATTTAATCTTGTAGAATTTAAAGTTTGAACTTGTAAGTATATTTTACTTGGAATTGTTTGTTGTTTTTACAAAGAGTGTTTAGGTAAATATCAAAGTCATGATCCCGTTGTTCCCATCATGCACTTGGGCATGAATAATTAATAAGGTTACTTTTTTTGTTGCTGTTTTTGAGATGTATTTATGGTTGCTTTTGTTGTTAGGTTAAGTAACTTGTTGTTTTGTGACATCTAGAGTTAATTTTCTACTCAAAATGACCCATTCTCAAACACTATTCACTGATTGTTACCTTCATTTGTTTTTCACGTGCCAAGTATTGAGGTCTCTGTGTTCATTTGATTAACTACTTAGAGTCAACATATTACCTTAGATAGAACAAGTA